GCACACCTACAGGCTGGGGAACTCCCTTCTTGCCAGTGTTGAGACAGAAAAGGATCTTGGAGTCATCATTGATGCCACAATGAACATGGGCCGACAATGTGGGGACGCGGTCAGGAAGGCCAACCATACCTTGTCCTGCATCCACAGATGCATCTCAAGCAGGTCCAAGGAGGTGATCCTCCCCCTCTATGTGACACTGGCCGCAGCTGGAGTACTGCATCCAGTTCTGGGCGCCGCACTTCAGGAGGGATGTGGCCAATATGGAGAGGGTCCAAAGGAGGGCCACGCGCATGATCAGGGCTCAGCAGGGCAGGCCCTACGAGGAGAGGCTAAGGGACCTGAACCTGTTCAGCCTCCAAAACAGAAGGCTGAGAGGGGATCTAGTGGCAGTCTACAAACCAGTCAAGGGGGACCAGCAGGCATTGGGCGAGTCCCTGTTCCCCCGAGCAATCCCGGGAGTTACAAGAAACAATGGACACAAGCTAGCGGAGGGTAGTTTCAGGCTAGACATTAGGAAGCGCTATTTCACTGTCAGGGGGGTTAGGATCTGGGACCAATTTCCAAAAGAAGTGGTGCTGGCTCCTACCCTGGGGGGCTTTAAAATGAACATCTGGACGAACATCTGGCCGGGGTCGTTTGACCCCAGTACGCTTTCCTGCCACGGCAGGGGGTCGGACTAGATGATCTCCTCAGTTCCCTTCTGACCCTACCAACTATGAAACTATGAAATACTTGACCCGACAGGCCAGTTTGTTTCTTCTTGAATAGGTTCTTCCTTGCCACCTTCTCATTTCTGGATCCCCAGAAGAAAATGCATATGGCTCTTTGGATTCTGTGGGTGATACACCTTGGAGGGAGAGAGACCAGTGCAGTGTACAGAAGCAATGGTAGCAACACCACCTTCATGGGTGCCACACATCCCCACATGCAGAGATGGCCCGCGTGCCACAGACCCAAACTCTGCTTCACCTTGGCCTCCTTCTTCTCCCATGTTATGCTTCCAGTTAGCCCAGGATCGAAATCTACTCCTATGATATTGACCCCTTTGTGGGGCACCAAGACCCCCTTGGACTCCAGGTTCCTGAGCTTGCTCATGGCCAAGCAGGTACTTCTGCTCACATTGAGCTTGGCCCCTGCTGCCACCTCATAAACTCATGTATGCCACAGGGCTCTTCCTACAGCACACTTATTCTGGCTGTTCAGGTCATCCAAGAACCCAATGACCAGCCCCTTGCTGCTAATACTCATGTACAGTATCCTTACTCAGCCAACAAGGATCAGAAAGACACCAACAAGAATCAGAGACAACTCCCACCTCACTGGGCTGCATCAGAGCTGGGTGG